GATTTCACTGGCTCAGCCTTTGAAGGACGAGGGTTTTTCAGAGTCCCTTCCCAGCACGCCCATGACGCCGGCAGGTTGGGCAAGTGTTGCAATTTTCGAATGTTCGCCGAAGTCCTGGGAAAATTATGTAAACCCGTAGAGATTCCCACAATATGTCGAGTCTACTCAGAGACGCGAAAGGGTGGTGACGGAAAACGCGAGGGAAGTCGCGAGGAATCGAAACGTAGCGCTGTATCTGACAGATGTCAACATTAGGCATTTTATCTTGCAAAAATCGAAACTATACGCTATACTATCGTAATACAAATAAGTTATTTTTCGCTCTTAAATCCCTGAATTAATAAAAATAGCTCGCGGTATAAATCGCGCGATGAATAACAAAGACATTTTTCGTGAATCAACGTCAAATAAAAGAAATGAAAACAGGAAAGAAGATGCGGGTGTTTAACCCACTTAAGGTGAGTACTCTCACGAGTATTAAATCCGTCAAAAATGACATGCCTTTGAAAGTAATGCGCTTAACTTATTTAAGTTCAATTAAAGCTGCAATGTGTATAATCCCTATACTTTTGTAATCTCATATTTCAACCGTATTTTACTGAGCTTACTTTAAAAGTCTCTTTCATGCATTACGTATTTTATTTCTGATTTACTTTATTATATTATGTCTTTATTATAATTGATATAATTATCTCCTGTCTCTTGAAATTGTGTAAAAATCACGCGATCCTCATTTGATTCTGTGTTGCAAATCGCAAGTCATTGCAGAGCATTTCGAGAGATAGGCTTGCTCTTTTTGATATTTTACAGAACACTTTGCTATCGGCAAGAAGAGAAGGATGTTGAAGGATCCACAGAACTTCGAGTATTTAGTTAGCGACGAACTCGTCGGGGTCGTGCAACATCGCCCCGACGTTCTTCTGCCTAGGAATCATGTTAACGCCCTGCTTCCATTCCAATGCTACGTAACAAAGACCAACTGCCGGCCCGGCCATTGTCCCACTCTTCCGGTCGGACGTGCGCCCCATCCCAGAATATGGTTTTTCTCCATTTTCACTGGACATTGGATCGACACGTAGCCGACATCGAAATACTTGCGACTATCGAAAGGCTCGCTGCGGAAAAGGATACAGAAGCCAGAACTACGCCCTCAATATCGGGGCACTTTGTATCGCGTTTGCAGTTAAATGAGAAAATAATTTTTCGAAAAGACCGACCGGCGTCGCACAAAGGCGTGTACCATCTATTACAAGACGTCTTAATGTCCGGAACCAAGATCGATCGACCTTCGAGAGTTTGCTCCGGATTGTCAGCACTTCAAAGGATTTGCGATATTCTTAAACGATTTTACTCATAGCAATCCCTATGATCTCCGTTCTCGTTAACACAGATCTGCCGGATGCAGGAAATCTCACCAACGAGATCACAAAAGATGTGTAATAGCAGGTGAGCATAAATCGAACGAGAAGGAGTTTCGATTATATCGAGGTGATCGGATACGAGTAGAACAATTTACATTAAATTTAAAAACTATCACAAATTTTTTAACATCTTGTAAAAAAATTCTTTGATACAGATTTCGATAGAGATAAATCTTGATAAACAAATTTAAGGTTCAAAAAATTCCTATAAATATTCTACAGTATATTTTCATTCACATTGTTTAATCCTCAATCAATTTTCTATCCGAATCCAATCAAGTTCCTCAAATCCTCTTCCGTCGTAGACGAGGGAAGAAATCAATGATTTCGCCCGTTCGCTATCGCAGCCATATTCCATCACATCTCGATGTCATATTTTTATTACCGTTCCCGTCAGTAAACACATTACAGGTTTCCCACATTAGACGGGAGCGCATAGGAGCAATGATGGTAGCGGCGGCGAACGACGGGAAAGAAATATCGAAAAGAAGGAAGCAGCAAAGTTACGCGAGAGCTATAAGCATGCCGCGCCCTTCTCTCGAATCTCGCATCTGTCTTCCCTCGTATTTCGGACCTCTCGATCATATCCGTCGTATTTGCCTCCTCGAGAGAAGGAAGGTTCGCCTCGCGCGTCCTTCGAGACGGAAAACCTATGAGCTTCAAGAGCGGCTTTAACGAGAAAAGGGACACCGGAAAGATGAAACGACGCAATGCCACGAGAAGTCATAGAGATATCAAGACAAACAGTCCAAAATTCTGAGGAGTTTATCCTTCAGTATAAGTGTATTATGACGCTTGGTTTTATTTACTTGCCTTCTGTGTAATTTTAACCGTCAAAATCTCCGTATTTTTTTATAATTATTTTTCTTGTAATTTATAATAATTTTTATAATATATTTAAATGATTACATTTTACTCGATTATTTAAACGATTATATTTTACTCGATTATTTTTTTATATTCTTCAATAGAACGGAATTTCTCCGGAAATCGACTTACCGCGCCAATAATATGACGGAATTATGTAAAACGAGAATACCCGGGATCCACCGTGTCCGTCATTGAATGAGCCAACAATAAAGTTCTCTGCATAATACGATAGAACGGGCAGGAGACTCGAATGCAACGGGCATGGGTAGGAAAAGAGGGCATACGTCGATTTACACTCTATTGCAATGTTAAATCGTGTTGAGAGCAGCGAAACATAGTCGTGACTTAAGTCAGAAATATATGCAACGCGTTCTATTTATTATAAAAACATTAAAAAAATATAAGTGAAAAAATAAATTTCTGAAAGACGTAATGTTACAAAAGTCAATTGAATTATTGTCCAAATAGTTATTATTATCCAGTGTTAAAAATGTCTTTGTCTACGCTTTTCCATTAGATGTATTTTTTTTCGGCGAAATGTGTAATTACGCAAGACACAGCTGTTCTCGGAGCAGGATAATAAATCCACGTGCTCCAGTAATTAATTTGGCATGGAAAGGTACATTGAATTAATTAGATTTAATGGCTTGCGCCACTTACTTTATACTAACGTGAAATTAATGAAAGTTCGAGCAATATTTAAATTTACTAGAGTCATATGCATTAAATACAAAATGATTATACGATTATACAATTACAAGAGCATTTTCTTGTTGCCAGTAAAACACCGAGTTTATCGCGTTAAAAATTATACTGTAAAGACAAAATATTATTTGTTACGCATTCGAGAATGACGCGACATATCACCCAAGGCGCGAATTATGTGCGTAAAATGCAAGGACGCGTGCTCGTGATTTTACCACGTTTTCACTTACAACCGGGCGGGGAAGTGTAAAGAGTTTTATCACGATCGAAGGTGAAAGAGGATAAAAGAGACATGTGCCGCCTGTTGCTGTCAGCCACGTCGCGGTGTAAGTGCCGTGAAAAAGAAGAGACGATATCATCGAAGGAGAAAACGGCAGGGATGGGAGGATGTTTACGAGAGCGTTATAGCTTCGATCCTTGCCGGTAGTTTATCACGAGCAACTGACTCCACACTGGATGTATCCGTGCTGACGTATAAAGCTACTTTTTCTCGTTTCTCTGCCGAGAGATATATTTTGGCTTGATATTCAAATTATTTCTCTCGCAACAAATTAACTGAGCGCCAACGAAAGAACTACAAAATTATATTATAGCAACAAGCGGCTTAAACGATAAGCAAATGAATTATTCTAATGTCTTCGATATGATACGAAATGATACGAAATTTTGTTGGTATATTGTGTAAGAGTATGAATATATTCTTATCGAAAATGTGAGTATAATTATTGACGAAATTATATTAATTAAAACATGTCCTAATAAATAATTTATTCGGCAATGTAAGATCACTTTTAAAATGAAATTTCCCGATTTTTGGAGATCTAATTCTCTCAGTTTTACCGGATTTCGATAATGGACCTAGCGCACGCGTAAAACTATTAAAGAGTTTTCCTTTTCGCTACCGAAAACTTGAAAGGCCCACCCATACGGTCGATGTATAAATCAAATGTCTGCGGCATGATTTTCACGGTAAAAAGGAGCATCTGTCCAAGGGATTCATTCTTTTTAATAACTGTCACCGAATGGACCCAAATGTGGACTTTTACATAGTTAATTTGATTTATGTGCGTGGCGATACTTCTTTTAAATCTGGCAAAAATTTTATAAGAGATAGATTCATCCCAATATGAATATATTTTTTTCTCTAATATTGTCATTTGTGTATTATTATACGAAAAAAACTCGTAATAAATTTCCATTATTTCAAATCTCATTCAAGTTTGGAGCGTTCCTTCTTAGCGAAAATTTATAATTCGCTAATTCTAAGCAAATTGTGCTATTGATACATACTATTAATAAATGAAAAATTAAAATTGGTGCATTAATAGAAATATAATTACTAATCATTGACATGTTTTATATTAGGTATTTTTATTAAATTAATTAATAATAATAATTAATAATAATACTATATGATTGAAAATATTGAAAATATTTTTTTAAATATATATTTGTAACGCATGCATATTTTGAAAAATCTCTAACAATATATATATTGCATTAATTTACGTAATTTATGTATTTAATTTAAAGAAATAAAAAAAATAGATCGTAATATATTATTAAAAAAAAAGTAATATTATTATAAATATAGTATTATTATTAAAAAAAATTCTTAAAAAAGAGAAAAAGAAATATAAAGAAACAGTTAAATATTAATATTTTTTCCGATTATAATAATTTTATTTTGCATTAATAATTATATTTTCTTATTAATTTGTCTTAGCCTATCCATTTTAAGATAACAAATTTGTAAGATGTTAAATATTTATCTTTTTCTTTCTCTATTATAAATTTTCAATATTTATAAATGTAATAAAATATAATAAAATCATAAAAATAAATAAAAAATAAACTCAAATAATGAATTTAAATATCAAATATTTTATAAGAATAAATAGTACTAGATATTTCCATATTATTTATTTTTATGAAATGTACTTATTTTGATATATAATTTTTACAAATTTATTATCTTGAAATAAAAAATGAATTTAAACTCACCGATACGATGACTCGTAATAGCGGAGTGCAATACATATAAATCTGTAACACAAAATATGCAGAATTTATGAAGCGCAGTTTTAAAAATTAATTATTTTAAAAAATAATTATTGCGCATAGCTAAATTTTTTATATTTTTAAATAGATATTTAATAAAAAAATTTCAATAAAAAATAATGTTATAAAATATTACATAATTTATAAGAAAAGAAAAGAAAGATTTTTCAAATATATTTATAGATATTTTTTAATAAAATATAATAAATCTATAATTTTTTCATATAAATAATTTAAAAATAATTTTAATAAATTTCAATAAATTTTTAACACACACATAATAAATTAAAATAAATTAGTGTTTAAATATTTTATATATATTTATAAAAAAATATTAATGAAGGCAAACACTTTTTTATAAAATTATATTAGTAAATAATTGATTGATACTAAATAATTGATGAGAATATTTTTTAATAAATTATAGAATTCATATATTATATCATAATGACATAAAAGATTGTAAGGAAGAAAACAAACAATTTTACAAATAATAAATTAAATACATATAGGTTAAAATTGCTTACCCCACAGTTGTTCCACCATTGTCAAATGTCTTTCCAAGCCTCCTCCTTCTTTCTTGTTCATTGCTGCTTCTTCACAACACTCGCGGAAACACAAGTCAATTATGTTATGCAATAATTAGCAAAATACGCGCGACACTTTATACGGCACTCCCGCACTTTATTATACCGGAAAAAGAATACGAGAATTTCAACGCGGCTAACTTCGTACCTTTGTCGCGGTAAAGAATTATCACTAACCAAAAATATGTTCACAATTTAGAGCAATTTTCTAAAACTCTATGTCACAAATAACAACACACGATGTATTTCTAACTTATAAATCAAATCCCGCGAGACTAATGTATTATTCTTCGCGTTTCGACAAGGAATGCGACGATATACAAAGCGATATATTACGCTGCCTACTCACTCGACTTTCACCGCATGAATGATAACAAGACGGCGAGATGCGAACAACAGCGCGCTGTAAATTGCAAAGATCGAACGCCGAATTTGATTAATTGCGGAGAATAATTACGTTTTTACCTTCTCGCGATCGCTCTCCGGGAGATAATACGGCACAACATATAATGTCTTACGTCGCTGCCTGACTTCCTGCCCGCGCGCTCCCTCGCGTCTCGCCGCGCGAATGACAACAACGCCGCGGGCGCGGGCCGCGGTATGTAAACAGTAACGCGTAATACGATGCAAAAAACAAATACCGAATGCCGCCTGTACATTCATCACCAAATATTTAACGCGTTATAAAATAAACGCGCGTGATATTCTATCCCTCGAATTTTAAATTAATTATTAATGAACGATCAATATGTTTCGGAGCTTTTTGTCGCATTAAGGCTACGGTCGAGAAGACGCTCTGGATGCTTCGAAATATCATTCTATCTTTGTTCTACATTCCATGAAAATAAAGATAGAATGTTTCGGAGCATTTATAGTGCAGTCTTGACCGCAGCCTAAATCTCTCGATTCGTGTATTATTGCACGCTCTCAATTTGTAAATAATTGGCATGTAAAGATAATTATTTTAATTATTTTAAATAATTATTTTAAAAAAACAAATATCAAATATTGCCTGCTTGTAGATTCATCACGAAATATTTAACGTGTTATAAAATAAACGTACGCGCGTGATATTCTATTCCTCGAATTTCAAATTAATTATTAATGAACGATCAATGTGTTTTGCGGCTTTTTGACGTTTTAAATCTTTCGATTCATGTATTACTGCGCTCTCAATCTGCAAATAATTGGCATGTAAAGAAAATTATTTTAATTATTTTAAATAATTATTTTAAAAAAACAAATACCACTTGTCTGTACATTTACCATAAAATATTTAACGCGTTATAAAATAAATGTACGCGCGTAATTTTCTATTCCTCGAATTTCAAAATTAATTATTAATGAACGATCAATGTTTCGCGACTTTTTGTTGCATTAAATCTCTTGATTCATGTATCACTACACGCTCTTAATTTGCAAATAATTGGCACGTAAATATAATTATTTTAATTATTTTAAATAATTCTTTTAGAAAATAGTGTTTAATTACATTAAAATCAGCGAAAAATTTAAAGTGTGATATAAAATAATTTTAATTTATTTTATTAGTAATTAATAATAATAAGAAATAATTGTAATATTCATTAAAATTAAATGAAAATTAAAATTATTTCTTATTATTAATTATTAATGAACATTAAAATTATTATTAAAATTTTATTTTTAACGTTTACTTATGTTAATTATGAAAATATTTAATGTTTTTAATGTTCATTAATAAATATTTTAAAATGTAAGCGTTAAAAAATTTGTGGCACGTGCCATAATATGTTTCATTGAATAGAAAAAAATTCGTTGCACATCTCTAGGCTCGTTCAAATAACAATAAAAATGACTGTGACGATGCTATCAGCATGCGCGACAAACTTGCAGTTACACTGCAAGAAAGAGATGACGTGAAAAAAAATTTGGTTGAATAATTTAAACCGACTTAGCCGCGATTTCTTTTTGTCAAAGGGCAGAGGGATGTTGGCGGCAGATGCAAGTCTGGACCATGCTTCGATGAGCATCTTACTGCGCTTACAGTGGACGCGTGCTGTTTTGGATTAATTTTTTTCGTGATTTCTTTTCTTAGGCTATACGCCAAAGATGTCATGGACACAAGATGCTGAAGAATCAGGTAAGGTAATACGCTTCTGTATTTTTACAGAAATTTTTTTATTATTTGATTTTTATATATTAGTTGAATTTTGTAAATATTTTTCGAAATTTTTCCATCGTTTATTAATCAGAATATGAAAAATAATTTAACAATAAATATTTTCTTTTTCATTATCATGTTATATGTTTTTCATTATCATGTTACATCCTGTAACAAAAAATATGATCAATTAAGCTTTGGAAGCGTAATATAATATCTTTAGATAGATAAATTTTTGGATAGAAATCGCTTAAAAATGTTGCTATTAATTCGCAAACATAAAAATATTTATTTCAATAAAAAAATAATGTTATTCTCTATAATTTTATATCCTCGCAGAAATTCTAATTAGTTAAAAATAGTATATTTAATAATAAAAATACTAAAACTTTGATTAAAAAATAATGGATACTGAAGGTAAATTTATAAAGCACAAAGTGGGCGCATGGAAATTTGCAATACTAATTGCAACTCGATTGGAGTAGCGAGAGAGTGGTAGGTAAAGTTTGAAGTTGATCAAGTTACGCTCGGATGACATCGTCTCATCTGCGACCCTCTCGTAGCTTCCTGCGAGAGGAGGCTAATGAAAGAATAAATACTTGATGCCGTGGGCCTAATTATGTCGCGGCTCTCGAGTTAAGGCGGGGTTGTAACTACAGGAGATGAATCAGAGAGTCTACAGGAGTAGATTTTAGAAAGAAAGTTCCGTGCGACTGCGCGTTGCGAGAGGGGGATCTAAGATTGGTGGCTCGATCTTGAATAATTGATAACAGTTCCGCGCGTGGACTTAAAAGCCTTTGACTATTTAATCTGTTACGTTTAAAAGTGCCGGCATTGCTACTAGATATTTATGATAAATCAACTTGAGAAAGCTATAACTATAAAAAATAAATTGAGAAATATATGAGAAAAATATGTTACATAAGTGTTTTCGTTTTTCTTTAATATCTAATAAAATATTTTTTGTCCTGCAGAAAGAGAGTTACATTTTGTACGATTAAAAGTGATTTAAGAATTTCTCTCTTATACAATATCAATTCTTTAATTTTCTTTTATGGAAATTTTAACAACACGTTTTAACTTTCATTAAACAGATTAATGGATGACATGGACATTTCAGCGAAACCGAAATTCGCGTCTCGATTTTTACAAGGAACTGATTTACAAATCTGTCGATCTTTCCGTATGATCAAAAGGAATATTAGCTTTTCGTCGAGGCTCAAGAGCAATGGCCGTCGAAGGCAGAACACGACCGCCCGGCGCCCTTCATCGTTCCACCATAATTTCCGAGAATGAGATAAGCTACAACATCTCTCCCCAGACCCTCGGACGATGCCATGGGGGTTGCAACCCTCTCCCTGACTCAACCCCCTCGGCTCTTCGCGCGCTGGGGTTGTATCTGGGGAGCCTTCGTGCAACTGACCAATGCGCCATTGGCTGGCTGTACTAATCAATAAATCGTTCTGTACAACGGCACCGAACCGACGTTCAGACGCCCTTCGTACCAAAGGGGCGACCTTCCGGTTCACCATCGTCGCGCGGAATGGACGCCACGATGCACTCTCCATTCTCATCGACCGGCTATGGTTATTTGTAAGATGGAAATAGCGATCACACGATGACTCGCGATAAAATTTTCTTCTTTTAAATCATTTCATCTCGGTCTTATGATAAATGTTCCTATACACGATGTTTCTGTGTAATTCAAAATATTTATCCGCAAATTTTCTTCTATAAAAGATCAAAATTTACAACAAAATTTTGTTAAAATATATAACATATCATTTAATAATAGATGTTAACGAAAATTCAGTTTAAGGATGTAAATTAATGGGAAAGAAAATATATAATATAGCTTTTGCATCTAATTTCAATTTTGACACAAAATTTTCTATTGCACAATGACAAGAAGTTCGAAGTAAGTGTAATTGAATATCGACTATCTGTCGCTGCAAACAATATAATGCCTCTACTGATAATAAGCATTTGCGCGAGGAACTGCTCGACCTCGATATTTCATAAGAACATCATCCCCTTCCATGGTTTCTTACGTCTTTACGGAAAGCTCGTGGTGGCCATTGATCGATGGAGACGGAGATGCGAATAAACAAAAGTTCGCGCCGTGGAGAGGGTGCTCGCGTCATCAGTCATCGGTTTTGTCATGTGTGCTTCTAATGCGGACAGTAGATCCTGCGGATCGTAGCTTCGTAGAAGCCAAGGAAGGACGAAGATGAGGCATAACGTATACGATCTGGGCGGAACTTTTCTTTTTATTTCTTCGCCTCCGTCGAGCAGAGCAGCCACGTAAAATTGTTGGCAAAATTTATCGTCGCAAATGCAGAGCTTAAATAAATGATAAAAAATATATTAAATGAAAGAGAAAAAAGGTTTAGCACTTTTTATTAAAAACTGTATCTTATAAAGATTAAAAAGAAAATGAAAAAATCAATGTAGGAATTGAAGAGAGAGATGATCACTTGTTGAACTCAAAAATTTATTGTAATAAGATGGAGTATACGAACCCAAATGCTTGCAGTTTTCTGAATATTTCTAAATCTAATCTATCCTCCCAGGATGGGGAAGAGGGAGGGTTGTGTAAGAGGTAGATCCATCAACATCCGCCTCATGGTTACATGTGAGCTCGGCTTGCACAATCGGCTGCGTTTCCCTGGAAAGCGAAGGGTCAACAATGGACTCCTGGCTACACCCTACTAGGTAGGACCATTTTGAATACGCATAACGATCGTTCATTGTGATCTCCGCCACGACCCTATGGTGTTTCTTTGAAGTTTCCGGAAAATTGCGGGAACATTACGCGATTCGAAATTTCGACGATCAGAAAAAAGGAACGAGGAGCCGAGGATGATGTAAAAAATATCTCATTACCATAGCACTCAATATGCGTGTATCGAAAGATTGATTAATAATGTATTTTTGTTAGAACCGTTAATAGAGATGTAAATTTCCAAAGTCTAGGTACATCTCTTTATTGTATAAAATTAAATACGTATCGCTTTCTTCTAGATTAAACTTTCGCATAATTTACGCTAACTTCGA